AGTCCATCATGACCCGGGGATTTACCCCTCTCCATTTTATTTATGATGGCTGATATCTCTTGTGCCGTAAAAATAACAGAAATTCCCCTATTGGGCACAGCATCAAACACCTGCAAAGGCTGCACACATCCAGTAAAAGGAGGTGACTCAATCTGGAAATGACGTCTAAATGCATTGGCTATATCAACCGGCTCGTGTACGCCCGCCACGCTCACCGGGGACTCGACTTCGGATTCAAACTATTTGTTGATTTCCAAAATGAACCAAATTTCTTTTTAGTGTGATGTTTAGCTAGAATATCCATTTTTATTTGTTGTTGGTTATCTTGACAGTATTTCAAATTAGTCTTAAATATTTTTCTGGATTCGCACATTTTATCGTAAACACCACCACTAGCAGGTTTACCATAGAACAACCATGTTCGGTAACAAATCCGAGCCTCCCTGTGAGCGTCACGAACATATTTGTTCCAACCAGGAATGTACCTTTTACTATTATGACGCATCTGTTTATCTACATAAGTACGTTCGGCACCGTCCTTTAGAATTTTAATCAATCCATTATACATTGTATCTAACACTTTCACATGATTAGCATTAGAACACATTTTATGCGCACAATGCCGAAATTCATCTGGAAAATCTATTAATTTTAATTTGGAATTACAAAAGTTTGAGTATTCATTGATCTGGTCGCCATCTCTGTCACCCCATATCACTCTATTGCAAGTATAGATAGGATTCACTAGTTTAGGTGTAATTAAATGAATGTTACATTCAACTAATAAAGGTATATGATCTGACAGATAAACTCCATATAAAACTGACACATTTACAACTAATTGTCGTGCCGCACCGCTTACGACACAGTGATCAAGCCAGCGCAATGCACCGTTAGCAGTACTCTCAAACGTAAACGTGTCCTTCGGAAGTAGTTCCATATCAACACATGACCACGATTGCTCCCCACATACTGTCAATAATTCAGTTGAAAAGCGCTCACCTGGATGTGCGTTAAGATCCCCCAATATAAACACTGACTCAATATTCATGCTCTCGGTAACAGCGATAATTTCACTTAAACACTCTGTAAACTCAACTAGATTATCAGACGAGTCGGTTGGCATGTACACTGAGAAAATTAACAGGGAACGACCCGCGTGCTCAATCCTAATAGCCAACAGACGATCACTATTACACTGCACCACAGATACCGTCGCAAACGCTGACTTTCTCCACAGAAGCGCAACTCCTCCATACGGCCTCGATGAGAACTCCGGCCGACGTGTCGACTGCGGACTTACCCGCAAACGCGAATCCATCATCAATACTACCGAGAAAGGGCACATCATGTGGTAAAAGCCAAGTCTCCTGCAGTGCAATCACATCAGCAACACGACAAAGCCTGCGAACACAATCAGCTGATCGAATAACATTCTTGCAATTGAATGTCGATAGGGTTACATTCTTTTTTATAGTACTATCCATTATTCACTATAGTATTTTCATTAACAGTATCTGACACTTTGCCTTTCTTGAAATTAATGAACTTTCTGAACATTATTCCTGTCGGCCAGAACTTGTCATCCAAAAAAGTACCCAATTTGTGTTTAGGTATAAACAACTTAAACGCGTTATATTGCCTTTCAGACTTCATATTGACTTTTTCCAGTTTTACGACTTCATTGGTTCTTTGCTGTATGTATTCACGTAATGTAAACAGGTTGACTTACTCATCGGCTAGTTGCTGTCTAAGCACTTTATTGTAATTTGTACAGCAAGTGTATGATCGTGGACTTTGACCTAGTTTATATATCTACTGATGCAAGTAATTTTTCGACTATAGTGATAAATAATATGCCTTTTGTCTAAGTTAAATCGTACCTAATTTTAATTATTTGTGTATTGGATACCTAATTATCTACCTACACCATATTGTTATGTTACTCTTAAGTTGTTTCACCTCTGCCTATCTCTTCCGGGAATAGATTTTATTTATTTATTTATTTATTTATTTATCTATTGTAAGCCGAAATCTCGCCTGCATAAACTTCAGGCGGACCTTTGGGGCCACGGGCACATCTTGAGCATATCTTCCCAAAACAGCAGATTCTGACCTATCAGGAATCATCCTCAGGATTCTATTGACGCTGCCCCGCATTCTGCTTACCATTGAGGCTGATGCCGGATGACTGCATAAAAAATAAAGATGCAACGAATAGTTGTTTATTCTTTACTAAGGCGACCAACTTTCTGAACGTCCAATGCGGGACTTTTTGTAGATACTTAAAGTTTAGTCGGTACACCTACAATTACATCGGATCGAAGTGCAGGAGTAGGAACGGGGTCGTTTTTAGTGAGTAAGAGTCTGACACTCCCTTCCGCCTCACCCAGGCAAGAGAATTCATTCGATGATTCCCCCGCCCCCCTTAAAAACACCTAGGTACAATTACATAAAAACATAACACTTATATACAAAAGTTATTTAACTATTAATAAAATCGAATTTATCTCTAGAGTGACACTCTTTAATAAGTTCAGGATTCTTATTGAGTAGGTATGTCATGAAAATCTTCGCAAGTTTTTCACTGTTTTCACTTTTAGTGACGATTTTTCCGATCTTCATTTATTCGCGCTGTTGTTAGTGTCGTGTAGTATGAAATGAAAAAAAAAGAAATGGGTATGCGGGACTTGCGGGACGAATTTAACGTTTTACGCAGTATAATTTATAAAATAGTCCCGTAAAATTTACGGGACTATTTTATAAATTATTTCAAAGCGGGATTACATCTAGCATTACGGGACGGTCCCGCAGAATACGGGACGGTTGGCCGCCTTATTCTTTACTATATTAATACTAGCGGACCCGACAGACGTCCTGCATATCCACTTGAATGTATAAACAAAAATTCATTCAAATTAGTTCAGCCGTTTAGGATAAATAACCTAGATAACGACTGCAGTGCCATCTGCCGGGCTGATTAATGTGAATCTAAACCATTCCCAGATCCCCTTGAACACACACAAAAATGTTCATCAAAATCGGTCCAGTCGTTTGAGAGAAGTTCAGTGTTTTGACTTGTTATTATAAAAAGTTAAAATAAAAAGATTCAATTACAACATTACATAACATCACGCCTTTTATCCTCAAAGGGGTAGGCAGAGGTACACATTATACCACTGTACAATGTAACATTCACTTATCACTATTTATGTTATGAGTCCCATGTAATAGGGGGTGAGCCTTTTGCCATGTACCGGGCACAGTTCCAGACTCCGTGCTACTACTGAGAATATTTAAAAAACCCAGTAATACTTTGCCCGACGCGGGAATCGAACCCGAGACCCCTTGCCCGGCAGTCGCAATTGTGACCACTCGGCCAACGAGGCAGTCATTTCAATTACAACTGTGTCTTTGTTTAGATTTCATTTATAAAATATACCAAGTTTACTATCCGGTATCAGGCCGGATAGTAAATAACAGCCGGATAAGCCGGATACCGGATAGAAACCGAATATTTGGTGCAACTCTTAATAAAAATCTTTCACCCTTGCATTCGGAAACATGCCTGAGACACTACAATACCAGGACATTATAAGTGGTAAATAAAATAATAATAAAACTTTTTAAAATTATTTAATTTAATAAATTCATAAAATCAGCACTCGATATTAATCTGACAATTATTAATTTATGGCTAATTAAATAAAATTAATAAATGCATTTCGTATAAAGATAATAATAATAGGGTATAGTTATCGAAAAATATTTACAAATAATTCGCTAGAAAAATAAATTAAGTACTAAAACTAAAAAAAATACGAAGTATTCTTAATATTTTTTTTTCTAAAAAAATAGTTATTTTTCTTAATTTTACTTGAAAACTATCGGAACTCAGTTTTTCTCTAAATATCATTTGAAATGCCGTTGGCAGTATTTTTTTAACTTAAATATTAAATGACATTTTTACAAAGAATTAATTTAAATATAAATTCGTATAATTTTATCTAAAACATACTAATATATCAATAGGGATGATCCATTTACTTAATATAATGCCTCTTATAAGAGAAAAATATCTATTTTTCAAAAATCATGATAAAGCAAATGTTTTTTTTTAATTTTCGCAGACCAGATACAATTTCAAACTCCAGGCTGTTACTGAAGAATTTCCAAAATTTCGACACCGAAATATCTTAATAATACTAATTATACTTAATTTTCTGTGACTCGAGAATCGAACCTGAATGAGTTTTTAAGTTTCTTCTCTTAAGGGGTAGACAAACGGCCATCCTTATTATTATATCATATAATTATTAATGTATTTGGACATAATTACTACGCAAAGTAATTATAATTAATTTGACAAACAATTATTTGTCATTAGTCGCTCCCGAAACGATGATTTTTCTCTCAATAAATAAATTAATTATTAACATTTATGTAAAGTTTAAGTTTAATTTGAAATTATATCTGACTATTTATTTAAAATAGGATTTATTAATAAATCGCGGGTTACTCACGTGAATACACTGAGAAGTGGTAGAAGTCAGTAGGGTCCGCGACATCGCCGCGACCGCGCACGCTGCTCATGAGGAAGAACCCCTCTGTGGTTCGAAACTAGTAGAGCTTTTCTCAATATATTCACGCGAGCAACCCGTGATTTTTTATTAATATAGTATGTCTCACGATAGTTGTAATAGGATTTGTCAAAAGCTTACACGAAACCGTAGCGGACATTTTTTGATAAAATAGATAGGTAATCAAAGAAGTATAAAACATATTTTTTTTTTGAAAAATCTTACAAAAATATAGTCAAGCAGTGCCGTTTGTAACCTATCAACGGCAAGTACCAATGTGACTTCTTCCGAGTTATATGTACTTTCTAAGATTATTCAGACACCACTGACAAACGGTGAAGGAAAACATTGTGAGGAAACCTGGGCTTATAATTTCTAATTATAAGTTTGAAATCACCAACCCACGAGCAAGCGTGGTGATCCGTGTGAGAAGAGGCTTTGCCCAGCAGTGGACATTTATAGGCTGTTGATGATTGATGATGTGAGAGATATAAGTTAAACATTCCTGATTTGTAGAGAAGTTTAGCAGTTTTAGAAGAGTAGTATCTGGTTGATCCAATCTCTGAACTCTGAGATTCTTGTGTAGACTCCAGGCTGGTTGGGTTCCGCACACCCGATGCCCCAGGATATGATGCCGCCCAGTACGAATCGGTCGTCCCTTTCTCGTCGGACCACCATTGGACCTCCACTGTCACCTGCAAAGGTTAATAAGTATTTTATAGAGCTAGTAACGTAACATAACGTCACGCCTTTTATCCCCGAAGGTGTAGGCAGAGGTGCACATTACGGCACTTAATGCCACTGTACAATGTAACACCAACTTTTCACTATTTATAATCTTTATTATTATTTATAAATCTGTTCAGTTGTTTTTAGTTGGTTGCGTTCATTCAGAGAGGCAGACAGATGCGACAGTGGATTTTATTGCAAGTATTATTGACTGCCTCGTTGGCCGAGTGGTCGCAAGTGCATCGCAGTTTTGTGTACAAGCCCTGTTTGACTAAAAACCACGCAGATTCTACTCCTGCTTCGAGCTGGAGCCCCGGTAAATTCCTTCTAAACTACACCTTATGTACTTAAGAATAAATCTCAATTTACCTTCACAAGAGTCAGCCCCGCCTTTGCTCCTCCCAGCACATATGAATATGTTTGGTATATGCTCGTTGTATCCAGCCGCCTGGTACATCGCCTCGCACGCCGTGTTGTTGATCACTGGTACTTGGACCTCTTGCAGCACGCTGGGTAAGGGACCCTCTGTAATACGAAATGGTTTGATTAGTCCTAGTAACATAACATAACATCACGCCTTTTATCCTCGAAGGGGTAGGCAGAGGTGCACATTATACCACTGTACAATGTAACACCCACTTTTCACTATATATGTTATGAGTCCCATGTAATAGGGGGTGAGCCTATTGCCATATACCGGGCACAGTTCCAGACTGCGTGCTACTACTGAGATTTTTTTAAAAACCCAGTAATACTTTGCCCAACCCGGGAATCGAACCCGAGACCCCTTATGCGGCAGTCGCAATTGCGACCGCTCGGCCAACGAGGCAGTCTTAGTAAGTAGTCAGATTAGTAGTAGTAGTTAGATTAGTATAGTGTTTTAATGTCTGTTTTTCTCTTTTTTTATGAAATAGGAGGCAAACGAGCAGACGAATCACCTAATGGTAAGCGATCAGCGCTGCCCATGGACACCCGCAACACCAGAGCGACCACAGGTGTGTTGCCGGCCTTTTAAAATGGAATACGCTCTTTTCTTGAAGATTTGAAGGTCGTATCGGTTCGGAAATACCGCCGACGACAGATTATTCCACAGTTTTGCTGTGCGAGGCAGAAAGCTACGTGAGAAGCGTACAGTTGTGGCCTGCCAACCATCTATATGATGGGGATGCATATGCTGTCATGAGGGTCGATAGCGAAAAGATGCGGCAGGTATCAGGTCAAACAAAACTTAGAGCATGGTATAAGCGATAGAAAATGCACAATGAAGCTACATCTCTACGCATTGCCAAAGTGTCCAGCCGGTTTGAAACATCCCGGAATCCATCAATCCGATAGGCACGCCGCTGAACCCTTTGAGTACCGTCATTATAAACACAATTAAAGATCAATAGGTTGCGGTCACCGGTGTCCTCGCGGTGTTTGACTGTTTAATGTGTAAAGTATTCCATATTTTTACTCCCGATCTTGGTAGGTCTAAAAAACTTTGAGAACCATTGATGTATTAGTACTAGAACATAAGAATGAACGTACCGTCAAACAATCGTCCCCAACCGGTGACGTACGCGGTCTTCCCGACGAAGTCCTCGTCATCATCAGGCACGCACACCGGCAGGATATTCGGCTGGAAGGTCACCGGCTCGTAGAACCTAGAATTTGAAGAGTTGGGGTCAGTCGTGGGACATTTGTATCATTATTTTGATATTAAATCTTGTGATTATAAAATAACGGGTGAAAATTGATAACAGAACAAATGAAATTTTTACTTTACTAAAAATTAAGTCAGTTCTTAGTCGCATTGTACCTAAAACAGACAGGTATTAAAACGGACGCAAAAAAAGAGGGACGCCTAACTTTAAAATCTTCCCTTTGACATAAAAGGAAGCGAGTTATTGCCAAACATTAGTCACATTTGGTCGATGATAGTGCAAATCCAAAACATTGGTTAATACCGCGTATCTGACAAATGTAGTGACTGTGAAATGACTGCCTCGTTGGCCGAGTGGGCACAAGTGCGACTGCTGGGCAAGAGGTCTCAGGTTCGATTCCCGGGTCGGGCAAAGTATTACTGGGTTTTTAAAAATCTCAGTAGTAGCACGGAGTCTGGAAATGTGCCCGGCATATGGCAATAGGCTCACCCCCTATTACATGGGACTCATAACATAAATAGTGAAAAGTGGGTGTTACATTGTACAGTGGCATTAAGTGCCGTAATGTGCACCTCTGCCTACCCCTTCGGGGATAAAAGGCGTGATGTTATGTTTTTGCTGACAAATGCAGCTAATTCAACATAACATAACATCCCGTCTACGCCCGATAGGGTAGGCAGAGGTGCACATTATGCCTGTTCTTATCTATTTAGCCTATAATTTTGTCTAAGTCTCACAGCTAATGTTACTTGAATGCTCACTTACATACAGTAAAACGCAAACATCTCAATATTTAAACAAAAATGTGGGCACTATATGTAAAACGTTTAGTACGTTTGTCTAACCATACAACGTTGCTACCATCCGTGCGTCACTGCATGGGTGCCCACTGAAAATCAGTGCTGGGTGACTTGTATGCCTGGCTTACACTGAGTGGGTGACCCTTTTAGCATAGGCATGTTGTCAGCGTCTCTCTTCTAATTCTTCTGTTTCAATTTTTCAACTCTTATATTTTTATTACTTCCACTGTCACACCTTGATTGTCTTTTTTTAATTTTTTTATTTATGCTGCTTCGTGCCTGGTGCTAAATAAATGTTTTTTCTTTCTTTCTTTCTTTCTACGTGATCTTAATATATTTATAACATTTACACACTATCAAAGCCCCATACGCGGTCTCCTTTCTATGACTTTAAACGTAAAACAAACTTGGACGCCCTCTGAGCATTCGACCTTTTCTCTAACCATATAATGTACAAATACTCAAACACTACTCTAAGTCGCGCTTTAGTATAGTTCTATCTCTACAAATTCTTTGTAAAATGACAGAGATGGCACGATATTTAATTACAACTTAAAACTGATTCGGGTGTTACAGATAAGGATAATACCTAAATATATTTATCTGCTACTGATTTTTTTTTAAACACTTTTATTATGCTAGTAGGTTTGTCTATAATTAAGGGAGTGTCCAGGGTAGCGACCTATGTCGCATCCTTTTTAATATTTGTGTGAGTGTGTGTGTGTGTGTGTGTGAGGGTGTGTGTGTGTGTGTGTGTGTGTGAGGGTGTGTGTGTGTTTGTGTGTGTGTGTCTACTTCAGCATATCTTAGGGAATCGTAGGAAATCTCAGGTTTTCTAACTAAGTAATCATCACTCACGTTAACTTGTAGAGAGGAACAGATTTTACAGATTTTGGTGTTAAAAACACAATGGTAGTGAACCTTGTAAGGTCAAATGCATTGGTGAGTGACCAGCCATCGCACCACTAGGTGGCAGCACAGAGTCGGCTAGAATTAGGTGGGTTCTGTATAATTTACGATTCGATTAGGTAACTATTTTTGTCAAATTCAAACTCTTAAACATTTATTTCAATTAAACCATAATTTGTTACTTTTGAAACGTTAACAAATACAAAATAAATAATAGTCTGTCAGTTTGTCCGTTAGTGAAGCTAGGTGGTCGGTCCAAAATGTAGATGCGAGTGGAGAATAACGAACAAGAAGCTCCATTAGATACTCTTTTAGTGGTTAAACTGTCAAACACCAAGCGGTCACCGGTGACCGCAACCTATTGTTCTTTAATTGTGTCTTTAAATATGGTACTCGATGAGTTAATGGTGGTTAATGAAAATCACCCTTTTTACCCCCGAAGGAGTAGGCACAGGTGCACATTACAGCCCTTAATGCCACTGTGCAATGTAACACCCACTTTTCACTATTTATATTATGACTCCCATGTAATAGCGGGTGAGCCAATTGCTATATACCGGGCACAGTTCCAGACTCCGTCCTACTACTGAGTTTATTTTAAAAAACTCAGTAATGCTTTGCCCGACCCGGGAATCGAACCCGAGACCCCTTCCCGGCAGTCGCGCCTGTGACCACTTGGCCGACGAAGCAGTAGTTCTATACAATCTATAATCTTATTGCAATATAATACTTTTTTTATATCATAAAAAAGCAAGAAATCTAAACGCGCCAAGGATTTAATTAAAAACGAGAGGAACTCTAAAAATTCAACGCTCCGTGCCTTCGTGGTAACTGTTTTTGTAACGACTCCAATCTATTGTGAGATCAGCAGACTAATACACATTAATAATTTTATATCCAATGCTAATTATATCATTAATATCTTTGTTTTATTAGCGACTATGTTAGGAATGCGGGCGTTGATATATCGCGAATGGGGAATGCATTTTTGTTAGATGTTTTTGGTCGTATCTCGTATGTTTTTTTTTTTCGTCGTCATGGTTATAAAGTTGGTATAGGCTTTTTTTGCTTTGTGATTAGATGTCGGTGTTTTATTATTTTTATGAGTTTGTGTAGTAATTCTTTACTGTTACAATGATTAAGATAAAGTTGTGTTTTAAGTATACTATTTATTTGGGATGGATTAATTAAGAAACAACATAACATAACATCACGCCTTTTATTCCCCCCTTCGGGGATAAAAGGACAGTAGCCTTTTATCCCCGAAGGGGGGAATAAAAGGCTACTGTATAATGTAACACCCACTTTTCACTATTTATGTTATGAGTCCCATGTAATAGAGGGTGAGCCTATTGTCATATACCGGGCACAATTCCAGACTCCGTACTACTACTGAGATTTAAAAAAATCCAAATACACTTTGCCCGCTCCGGGAATCGAACCTGAGACCTGGCAGTCATAGTAAAAGTCATAATACGGGATTATATCCCTTAGAGTAACTAATAAGTCCGACCCAACAATCGAATTAGGAATAGGTCAAAGAAAGAGAAAAAACTTTTACAGATATTCTACGAAAACAATCGATAGGACACTACAAATTTTGATCTAATTTGTTATTTTCCTGGGTGGCAAAAGTTAGAGAGGTTTCGTATCACAAAATAAAATACATTATATTTTTTTATGGCATAAGCCGGTAAACAAGCAGACGGATCACCTGATGGTAAGCAATCGGCGTCGCCCATGGACACCTGGAACACCAGAGACATTACAAGTCCGTTACCGGTCTTTTGGAGAATTAGGAGTTTGAGGATCGTTGGGGATTCAGGAATTGGGGAGATTGGGGGAGGGGAGGGTAATTGGGCCGCCGGTAACCTTACTCACACGACGAAACACAACGCAAGCGTTGCTTCACGTCAGTTTTCTGTGAGGCCGTGGTATCACTCCGGTCGAGCCGGCCCTTTCGTGCCGAAGCATGGCTCTCCCACACTTAAATGTTAAACACACTTATATGAACTTACCGTAACAAAGCCAGGTCGTACTCGAAGGTAGCTGGATCGAAGTGTGGATGGCTGGCCACGATCTGGACTCGTCTCTCCACGAAGCCGTATGGCTCGTCACTCTGGGCCAAGTCATGTTCTCCCAGTCTCACTAGAAGTTCTGATGGTGGGACACTGAAGACAGAAATGGGGATGATGACAGGGTATGAAAATTAAAAATATAATTAGTCCGTAAGTTAGGTAATGAAAAAATATTAGACACATATTTTTTTATTTTGTCGTATAATAAAACAATACTTAGATAAAACGAATCAAAGTTTAGGAGTGGGGGCTAAAACGTCATTTCTTAGTATAAAATGTACTGAGAAGTGACGTCACGCGACATTTCAAATCAATATATCTTCGAAACTATTCGTTTCTGTGAGAAAATAAAAAATACGTGTGTAATGTTTTTAAATAATCTATCAGACGGACATTAAAATAAAAATTAGTCGTCTACCCTATTGGTGATATTAGAATTTGGCAGAAAGAGCTGAGTACATTTGTCGCCAGCCTTCGTCGAGACTCGACTAAGGGAAAACTTATTTAGAAGAAATCGGGCAGCAGCGCTCTCTCATAAACTTGATCCTGTTAAACTAGGACCTGCAGGGTGCTTACTCTTGAAACCAATCTCAATGTCAATCCAATTTCAATTCAATAAAATCTCAATAATTAACCAATGTCAACACTATACAACCACAATTGTAGCTGTTAAAATAGCATTCAGAGTACGGAATATAAAGCCAAACTCAATACCGCATAGTTCATTCAATATCCGCGCAATACGGATGCAATGGGCGCTAGTGTTGAAACTCAAGAGTACGAAGGTTCACAATAGGAATGTCGATCGATCGGAATTGGATTCAAGAGTAAGCCCCCAGACCTGGCTAACGTTTGGAGATTATGGCAAACCTCTCTTTGGAATTGGAGATTCATAGTCTTGATGGAGACTCACTAGCAGTAGTCAAAGTTGAGTTCATAATAGGGTAGTTTCCGTGTGGTAGATTAATTTAAAACTTTAGACACGTATTTTATCTTTTCTCATAAAATTAAATACTTTCGACGATATATTAATTTGAAATATCGTGAGACGTCACAGCGTGCCACATTTTGTAGCACGTTATGACGTAACGACCTCCCACACCTAAACTTAGCGTCATTTTATCTAAGTATTGCAACTTAATACGAGAAAATAAAAAACACGTGTCTAATATTTTTTCATTATCTAACTGACGGACTAATTAGATTTTTAGTTTTGAGATCCTTGATACTACCCAATTGTAGTTTTCGATATTGTATTTTATTCAAATTGTCGATTTTATTATCAAATGAGTCTGTCTGTATAGTCTCACTGTTAGGAATAAACCTCTTCTGACACAGAGAAGATATACGCATTAATCACCACGCTTACCTCAAGACAAATTGGCGAATAATCAACTACTGACAGTGAATCCCCAAATTTTCAAGGTGATTTTTTGAAGCCTAAACTCCATGATTACATTAGGTACAGACAGAGATCAAGGAAACATAACTTTTGATGTTGTAGTGACTTCTAACCCAGGTAGGTCGTCTTAAGGAAAATGTTATTAAAATATCTACATTCTTCATACACCTCAAACATGTATTTGTGTAGATTGTAAGAACAATGTAGCTATCTAATTTTATTTACTTTTATTATGACTATGAATCTTTACTTTTTAAAAACGTTGCCCTACACTAGGATTTTCTCCTGTGTCGTGGGTGCGTTTACAAACATACAAGGTCACATACACATGACACACAGATAATTTTAATCCAATAAAATCTCAATAATTATTTAATGTCGAACCTATACAACCACAATCGTAGCTGTTAAAATAGCATTCCGAATTCGGAATAAAGAGCCAAACTCAATACCATTTAGTTCATTCAATATCCACGCAATACAAATACAATGGGCGCTAGTGTTGTAACGCAAGAGTACAAAATTTTACCAATGTCGATCGATCGAAATTGGATCCAAGAGTAAGCCCCCAGTTATGTCGCAATCATAACACAAGAAAATATCCAGGTAAATCTAAATCGATGGTAATCCCACTAAGACAAATATGACTGACAACAAATCAAGGAAAACTGATGTCTCGTCATTATTTTCTTACACAGTCGTAATAATGCAAGAATGTACATTGATTAAGTGCCTAGAAATGATTATGACGTCATTGCAATAAATATCAAATCGTACGAACTCCATCAGATACAGCGATCCCAATTTTTATTTACTAGCCAACTGACACTTATCATAATAGGAAACTAAAAGATTATTTTTTGACCTCAAGGTGGAAAATTCTCATTAAACACTCGCCTGGGGAAGACGAACAGGCCTTTAGCCAAACGCCACTTTAGTGCTTGTCTACAGAGAGAGTAGAAATCAAAATGTATGGGGATGACACTGACAAGTATCAAAATTTACGTCAATCCTTACGAAATAAATGGAAAAGTGAGTTTGTTTGTTTGTTCCGCTTTCACGCCGTAACTTCTAAACCGATTGCTTTGAATTTTTGCAGACGTAAAGTTAGAAGTCCGGATTAAATAATAGGGTACTTTTTATCTCGGAAAATTTTGATATTCCCGAGGGAAAACAAAAGAATTGGTATAGATGGCGCTGTGTGTATTGGTATATGTCACATAGGCTACTTTTTATCCTTTTGAGACGCGAGCGAAGCCGCGGGTAAAAGCTAGTTCCATATAATTTGGTTTTCTATTCTGCATGTAGACAAGCGCTAAATGGCATTTGGCTACAGCTGCAAGACTGTCAAGACTCCTGACAACCACCACGGTGCGCAGTGCCTCATCGTCCTCATCGCACGAAACGAGGGTGCGGGACACTCTTATCTAGATTTCATATGGCAAAAATACAGACGTTAACTTATTATAAAAATACTCACTGTTCAACACAATGTGCAGCGGTGATAGCCCAATTTTCATTCAGTAACGCGGCTCCACATTTGTGAAGATACGTGGAAGTCCTGTACTGTCTCAGGGAGATCTGCCACGGCCACTGCCCGAAGCCAGACTTCGTGCCACCGACGATACGACCTTGAGGAGCCTGCCAGAGTCTTCGGCCGCAAACTGCCAGCACCAATAATGTTGAATTTAGAATCATTTTTGGAATATACGGTCGAATGTTGTTGTTGAATGGTTACAAGAATTATAGGTTTTATTTTGTGTGTGGTTTTTTAGTTTTTTTAGAGGCTTTTCAATTGTTATTTGATGTTTGAGTTTTATTTATTTTAGTCTTTTTTCTTTTTTAGGGTTTTCACAATCGTTAATTTTTTATAACGTCAATATAGCTTTAATTTTTTTTAATATGTCCGAGGTTTTTTAAAAATGATTCTTATTACGAATAAGTGATAGGTCAATGTTCTCTTCCCACAGATAATAATCTATTCAAACAAACACAAAACTGTTCACACATTTGTACATTTAATTTCATTGAATAAAACCTTTTTTGACTTTGAAATTTGAATTTCAAATTCTATTCTAGAATACTTTTAAACTTATATTTTTCTTTGCGCAATCTTTGGTTTGTAACAAAAAGATGTTCAATTTATTATATAAACAAAAAACCCGATTGGTTTGGTCTAGTTTTTGTCTAATGTCCTATGACGTCCTAATTATAGGTTTTTGCTCAAGAATAGTTATTTAAAACCTTTAACCCTGCTGTTATTTATTACTGAGAATAATAAATACAGACACGATGATATCAACTTGGATTTAATTCTATAGAAGATAGGAGTGTAGACTTTTTACTTCTTTTTATGTAGACTTTTTATTTCTTTTTATTTATATCTAAGTTATTTTGATCAGTCAGCGCCTAGGAACTTCAATAAATCACTTTTTCTTTACTATTTTCAAAATGCATTCATGTTTTTGATCACGTTTGAGAGTCAGAGATTAATTCAAATCACGTTCGTTTATTCCAGTTCACGATTGCACTCATCCTCGACTTCCCATGACATTTTTGTTTTATATTATCCACTTTTTAAAACACAACCTCTTTGGCGAACTGCCAAACACACTTTTTTAAATTCACAAACAATATCGTTCCTTTTTCTCCAAAGAACGAAATTTGAATTCGAATTCGAATCCGAGTCACTTTTGTTTTTTTTTTATTTCACTTTTATTTATCGCACAGGTATATTTGGTGTAATGCCAAAAATGTCACTTTTCAAAAGATTTGTGTTGAAAATGTCGACATTTTAATAAAAATGTCGATGCAAAAGTTATTTCAAATTACGTTTGTCCTTGCGAGCGCCTTGGCCGTGGCGTGCGGTCGCGTCGCGATCTCACTACTCTTTGTTTGAAGACCGAACAGTTTTTTTTTTATTATTTTTTTTATTGTTGTTTATACATGGGCTGTAGAACATTTCGTTGGGACTCCAGAGGTCTTTAACCTGACTGCAGCTATTTTTACATTGGATTCGTGAAATAAAAATAAAAGTAGGTTGGTTTACTAATTAAGCATTTTTACCTTTTTTCGTTTTGTAACAATTAACTTGTCTTTTAAGTAGTTTAAAAGATATTTACCAACATAATCATTACATTGGATTTGTCGTAATCAAACAAAATGAGGCGGACATTTGGCAATGAGTTGTGCCTTTTTGTTTTACCCTAATGATGTTGTATTACAAGTAGAATTAATAATTCCTTAATTCTTATGAAGTGTCAAGTCTTTATTTTTACAACATTAGCTACTTGATTGCGAAAGATTTAATGATATTGACAGACTTTTAAAACTAGTACCTACGTCTAAGTGGTAATCGTCAATATAAGTAGCCATAACGATTTAAATCCATCACTATTCCGTTAAAATTCATGCACTTATTCACATATGAATATGACATACAAAGCACGTATAACAATCGTACACCAAACTCGAAATAGTTCGTCTCTAATCTTAAAGAAGGGAATGTGTCTCATATTTTTTTAATGCAAGGATTATCATTACATCATTTGTCTAAATCTAAACTTACCGTCAGACAGAGTGCATAAGTACATCGCAACCAACACGCGTGTGTTATGTGTGAGGGTGTGTGTGTGTGTGAGGGTGTGTGTGAGGGTGTGTGTGTGTGTGCGTGTGTGTTTTGTTGTTAGCTCCCAAACCGAGCTATAGAACCGAGCTGCACAGTTCTTATTGGTCTTTTTGTTTTAAGGAGGGAAAATCTTCGAATGACTTCTCCCGCCTAAATGAGGCGAGAGGGGAGTGTCAGACCCTGATGAACAAAAAACCACCCCGTTCCTACTCCTGCACTTCGAGCCGGAGCCCCGGTTACCCGTTAAGTCGTCCGCGGCTCCGTATCGGCATTAGGCCTAGCATGATGTGTTAGGACCTTTTAGCTTTCCATAATAAATGGACTATGAAATAAACAAAAAAATATTCAATTCGAACTAGTTCTGGTGCTTTATAATTTATATAACATTAATACAGATTGTCATATCTGTCTCCAGTAGGGTAGTTACCTAAATTTTATTTTAATGTCCGTCTGGTACATTAATTTAAAACTTTAGACACGTTTTTTTTCTTTTCTCACAAAAACACGTTCGAGGACGCTACCACTTGAGTCGGGTTTTCAAAATGACACAGTACATGTCTATACAAAATTATACGACGTATCAGTACGTAGTGTCCCATGAAGAAATATCGTTTTAAACATATCATGACACAATCGTTTTATCACGTCAACGTGTATATGCATCTAGGTAAGGATCCGCCTCGTTGGAGATGTCGGAATCATCAAACATGCTTATCTTGTGTCTTATTTTGCGCTTATATCCATCTAAAACACACAATAACCCATTAAACATCAATTTCACACTGTAAAATCATTAATTTGCATTAAAGTAATGTACACAGTGACACAGCCGCGCTGAATGTAGGAGCGCGGGACGTATAAACACGTTGTGCGTATGTGAATACCGTAACCGCACACTATCAACGACACTTATTTTAAATAGTTCTAAACTTACCCTACGTGACAGTACAGAGTTGGGTATTTTATATGTTGTGACACAAGATACATTTAAAAGAATTTTTACTTGAACTTTCATCGGAAATGAACGTTCTGCCGTATAATTTAAATGTTATTTGAACGTCATCGTACGTTGTGCGATATTAAAATCTCGAACGATGACGTATAATCTCGTTCTGTCCTCGAACGTGTTAAATACGTTCGACGATACATAAATTTGAAATATCGTTTGACGTCACAGCGTGCCACATTTTGTAGCACGTTATGACGTAACAACTTCCCACTGCTAAACTTAGCGCCATTTTACCTAAGTATTGCAACTTAATACGAGAAAATAAAAATACATGTCTAATATTTTTTCATTATATATCTGACAGACTAATTAGATTTTTAATTTTGATATCCTGGAAACTACCCAATTGGAGTAGGCAGGCACAAATGGTATGCCAAATACTAGGATTCTGACATACTTATGATAAATCGATTTATCAATCTCTTCATGCATGCTTGTTGATCACTGTTACCAACCCTACTGTTTTAACAGTAGATTTGCTGTTTTTGCTTTGATGTCCATGTTTTCTGTTTCATTCTTATTTTCTACTGTTTTCTTTCTACCAAAACAAAATTCACGATACTATCGATTTTTGAAACATGGACAAGAATTAAAAAATGGAGGAGACTCTCAAACGTTCCTTGCGTTGTGTGAATTACATAGTAAAAAAGCTTTTGTTAGGCACAAAGTAGGACCACATAGCAGTGCCGTCGTAGAAAGGTTATTTTCTGCTCTATAAATATTACGAAAACCAAATTACCTACGTATCAGAACATCGACTGCAACTATTAAAGGACAAAATCCTAAATAACCGATTGCTATACATTTGAATGTGAGTTCTAGTCACTTAAACAATTAGGTATTCATTACTTAATTATATTACCAAAAATATGAAATGAGCGCTTTTTTCTTCACCTACTGCTTTCTACTGTTTTTTTTAAGTGAGTTGTTGTTTTTTTGTTTTTTGGGGTTGGCAACACTGTTGTTGATTGCAAGCGTTTTTTACATAACTCTTTTTTTATGGGATAAGCTGGTACACGAGCAGACGGATCACCTGATGGTAAGCAATCGGCGTCGTCCTTGGACATTTGAAACACCAGAGGCGTTACAAGTGCGTTACTGACCTTTTGGGAATTGGAGTATGAGGATTGGGGGGGATTTGGGAAACTGGGGTCGTTCGGCCACAACGCAAGCGTTGTTTCACGTCAGTTTTCTGTGAGGCCGTGGCTATCAGCCCAGACAAGCCAGCCCATTCGTGCCGAAGCATGACTCTTCCACACTTTTCTTGGTTTTTTCAATACATTGACAATTTTAATGTGCAGAGATTTTTGGATAATGAATCATATTAATAACAAGAACAATTTTGACTATAGCATTTTGGAAAAACCCCTACAAGAAATCACAAGTCTTATAAAGTACCTACTTAAGTATTGTAATCTTTCACAACCAGTTGCAGTCAATCAGTTGATTGTAAACCGGTGACTGATCAGTATGGGCATGTATTAGAATTAATCTGTAATTAAGACTCTCATCCATTCGCCCGTGACTACACCGTGGGGACATATTAATTAATTACTACGCGTGTTAAGGCTGATGCACACTCGCGGGCTTTAATTTTAAATGAGCAGTTTTGCACAATGACTTAATGCAGGTAAAATTATGTCTTTGAAATGATCAGTCAGATTTGTGTGTACCTTTTTGAATGAAGGTGTAGTCTACGTAATCATAATAAAAATAAAAAGTGTTATTATTCGGTTTGTTATTGGGTTTTCCAATTTTTTGATATCATTTCGCAGTAATAAGGACAGATAGTAGAATTTTGATACGACGGCTTCATAAAAAAACCGACGTAAAACAACGTTTGCGTTGTGTTTCCTCGTATGAGTGGCCCAATTACCCCATCCCCAATCTCCCCAATCCCCAAATCCCCAATAATCCTCAAATTCCTAATCCCCAAAAGGCCGGTAACCCACTTGTAACACCTCTGGTGTTTTGGGTGTCCATGAGCGGCGGCGATTGCTTACTATCAGGTGAAACGAAAGCTTGTTTACCGGCTTATTCCATTAAAAAAAAACACAAATTTATATACATATCTGCACACACACCAGTAATTGTAGACCACGCCTAACCACAAAACAATCAGTTGACCCAACAATAGCGGCGTATAATTAAACCGTACTTAATAATCTAACAATTAGCTAGCGTCATGCCATGTTATAATCTAACTATACTTCCTTGTACTATGAATGTAGTATATTATATGTATGTACATTGTTTAAAAATATATAGAGGTACTTATATACATTTTGAATGAAAATATCTGTGATCGTCATTTTTAAAATAGTTCTCACATAATTTAACATGGCATTGTCGTTATTATGTTGTGCCTATAGCTATCATAATGCCCTGTGGTGACGATAAAAATTAACATAATTTGTCACCAATAGGGTAGATGCCTAATTTTTATTTTAATGTCCGTCTGGTAGATTATTTTAAATCATTAGACACATATTTCTCAGTAGTATTTCAAACGTATTTCAGAGTTGACTCAGTGGTAGCACGGAGTCTGGAACTGTGCCCGGTATATGGCAATAAGCTCACCCCTTATTACATGGGACTCATAACATAAATAGTGAAAAGTGGGTGTTACATTGTACAGTGGTATAATGTGAACCTCTGCCTACCCCTTCGAGGTTAAAAGGCGTGATGTTATGTTATGTAGACACGTATTTTTTATTTTCACCAATACTTCCGACGATATATTAATTTGAAATGTCTCGTGACGTCACTTCTATGTACATTACATTTTATACGTAAAAATGACGTTTTAGCCCCCACTCCTAAACTCTGATTCGTTTTATCTAAGTATTGTTTTATTGTACGACAAAATAAAAAAATACGTGTTTAATATTTTTTCATTACCTAACTTACGGACTAATTAGATTTTTAATTTTCGTACCCCGTCATCATCCCAATTCTATTCTTCTTGTGAGTCGTTATACTTGTAAGGGAATTCTGATTTAAGAAATATGAGACCGAGGCAGAGCCCTTTGAGAAATGATGGATGATTACCCCAGGATGCTTACTCTCGAAGTCAATCTCAATCATCAACAGCCTATAAACGGCCACTGAGCAAAGCCTCTTCTCACACGGAGAAGGTTCGAGTATTAATCACCACGCTTGCTCAAAGCGGGTTGGCGATTACAAACTTATAATTAGAAATTATAAGTCCAGGTTTCCTCACGATGTTTTCCTTCACCGTTTGTCAGTGGTGTCTAGATAATCTTAGAAAGTACATATAGCTCTGAAAAAGTCCCATTGGTACTTGCCATTGGTAGGTTTTGAATCCGCACCCTCATGCATGAGAAGCGGGCGTCTTAAACCTCCGGGCCACCACGACCATCTCTCTCAATGTCAATGCAATTTTAATCCTATAAAATCTCCATAATCATGCAATGTCAAAACTATACAACCCTTATCATAGCTGTTAACATAGCATTCAGGGTACGGAATATAAAACCAAACTCAATACCATTTAGTTCATTCAATATCCGCGCAATACGGATGCAATGGGCGCTAGTGTTGCAACTCAAGAGTACGAAATTTCACAATACCAATATCGATCGATCGGAATTGGATTAAAGAGTAAGCCCCCTTAACCGTTGAAACTAAGATTTCCAACCTACCAAGCGTTAAGATGATGGCGTAGGAAAGCCCTCAATTGAAGGTCTCAGCAGTGGAGTATACATAATCACGTTTCACCAACTAAGAGCCTCATATAACAATAGATAGGGAACATCCATATTATTCGGGTAATTACATTGTACCCGGCGGGAAGTAAATCCAAAAGTCGTGACAGTCGCGGTGGCGCTCTATGGTCTGTGGCTACTTACATAACATAACATCACGCCTTTTATCCGCGAAGGGGTAGGCAGAGGTGTAGATTATGCCACTGTACAATGTAACACCCACTTTTCACTATTTATGTTATGAGTCCCATGTAATAGGGGGTGAGCCTATTGCCGTATATCAGGCACAATTCCAGACTCCGTGCTACAACTGAGAATTTATAAAAACCCAGTAGTACTTTGCCCGACCCGGGAATCGAACCCTCTCGGGAAATCGAAATCTCTGACTAATTTTGTACCTATATTGTTGTGAATGTGTCATCTGTCACGAAATGCAGCCATTTTGAAATTATAGAAACTGTCATTCGTGTCATAATAATGTCACTGTTGGTTCACAGCTGTTTCCTATCATTGTTGGGTCCAATAAATCATCTTGAAGCAATGGGTGGTTATTAAACAATTAATCGAAATTATTATTAAATTAAATTGTCCTCGATACCTTATAATTGAGATCTGTGGTTTCCGTATCTCTAATCGTTTGCGAGAACGGAGAATGTATACGTTTGATTCAGTAGATTAGATAGGAGTATGTAGTGGATTTGATTCTCCGAAGATGGTTTAGAGAACAGAGAGTATAGTTCCTTAAGATTGGAAAAAAGGATCCTCCGACCAGACGAGGTGATCGTGCCTGGCGGGCTTTCTGCCCAACAGTTATCCGTTGGGAATTTCTATCCGTGTTAATTCGCACGTAAACTTCACATGTGCGATGTATGGATTTTTGTGACGTCATCCGTTGATTGGTTTCATCTATGTGCGTGAGCGGGGGGCCTACCACAACGTTGACATGTGACATGTGTATTATGTATGCCACAATATGGTATTTGCTATTGATTTGGATATATTTATAATTTTATTATTGTTTGTTTGTTGATAGTTTAATATTAGCGATGTGATTACCGGAACGAAAATTATTAATTGGTTTAATTAACAACATATTATTATAGTCATACACAGGATTTAGGTAGTATAAAAATATCGTAATAAATTATTTTTTTTACAACAGAATAGTGATGAATTAAATTAAACGTTCTGCTTAGGAAATTATGTAAAATAAGAGATGTTTGTTTGATATGGATAGAATAAAATTATGAGTTAATACTAAAACATTTCGTATATGAAAATTTCTCACCATTTTTATAATCAGACATGTTGACCTTTTCAGTTGTGGTTTCAGGAATTAACGTAGTAGCTATGGTAGTCTCTTCTGAAAAATAATCACAAGAATATATTTCAGTATAACTCTTATACATCACTACATAGTATAAAACAAAGTCTCTATCCGCCTTCTGTCTGTCCCTATGTATGCTTCGATCTTTAAAACTACGCAACGGATTTGGTTGCGGTTTTTTTAATAAATAGAGTGATTCATAAGAAACCTTTATATGTATAATACATGCATATTGCATCTGGGGGAAGCCGGAGCGGGTCGCTAGTAATTTATAAAAACGAAACCTGAATAGTGAGTCTTCAGAATAAGTGACTAAATCGAGTACAATGGCATACATGTTCTATTTTAATCTTAAAAAAGGTTAGGAGTTATGAATCTCATTTAATAGAGGGTCAGACAAATAATAGTACTTTGGCCGAGGCGAAAATCGAACCTCAGACCCGGGGTGCCATGTTCGATTCTCGCTCTAATATCACATCTAACTAAAATTCAAAAGACAATGTGTTATAAACGACATACCAAAACATAGGACGAAACCCTAGTATGTAAAAATGCTTTTATAGAATACTCACCCGAAGGTTTTATAGCTTCAGTAGTACTAGAACCAGTCTCATTCTTGCTAACACTTTCAGTTGCATTTTCAGATGAAACAGAAGTGAAGGTTGTTAGTCCAATACTTTGTGTTGATGTCGGAATAGTAGGAGATAGGGTCACGTTGACAGTAAACTCTAAAATAGGTTGTTGAGTTGTCACAGTTGATGCAGGCGCCTCAGTTGTCGTTGTGGGTGAAGATGGTTGTACTGTTTGTTGCTCTGTTGAAGGAGCAACTGTTGAAGTTGTAGTGGTTGTTGTTGGGGCTGCTGTGGTAGTTGTTGGTGTTGTCGGTGTTGTAGGAGCAGGTGTTGTTGGTGAAGTTGTAGTTGTAGGCGCAAGTGTTGTTGTTGAAGTTGTTGAAGTGGTGTCTTGTGGTGGTATTGAAGATATTAGCACCCAGCCTTCTGTTGGCCATTTTTCTGTAAAATTAATTGTTTATTAAGATTGGAGAAATAAAGAGGTATTCAGATTCTATAAACAGCAGGAGTAAGCAAGAGAAAAACATCTTGTACTGATGAGTTCTAAATTTCTAAAACTGGCTTTAATAGGGTAAATGCCTAATTTTTATTTTAATGTCCGTCTGGTAGATTATTTCAAAACATTAGACACGTATTTTTTATTTTCTTACAGAAACGAATACTTTCGACGATATATTGATTTGAAATGTCGCGTGACGTCACTTCCATGTACATTTTATACGTAGAAATAACGTTTTAACCCTAAACTTTGATTCGTTTTATCTAAGTATTGTTTTATTATACGACAATATAAAAAAAAATACGTGTCTAATATTTTTTCATTACCTATCTCACGGACTAATTAGATTTTTAATTTCCATACCCCGTCATCATCGCAATTTTGAATCAATAAACCAATTTATTTACTATTTCATTTGAAACTAAGTAACTAATGTTAAAATTATGTAACACATGAACGTTATGTAACTGGATGACATCATAGCCTCCACGAATAATAAAATAAAAGATATTTACAACACAATTTGTGGTAAATCGAGTCATTATTTTTAATAAAGTTATCTGTAACAATACAAGAAAACACACGTTACTCAAATATTCTAAAGTTCGCATTGAAAGAGCATAATATACGTCTAGGGTTGCCACCTTTTTTTTTGTATTCAAAGTACATTGACGATTATAGGTAAAAAAAAGTACACAGTACAAAAATAAAGTACAATTTATTCTTATTTAGTATTGTATATGTTGAGGATATATGTTTTATTGCTTTTTGCAGTTTGTATTAAATTAGTATCTTTACTAAACAATTGCATTGAAAATATTGAAATACTAAACAATTGTATCTTTACTAGAAATTATCTAAGTGGCGCTGGCGAGTAGCGAAATCGATTCAACATAAATCGATAAATATCGATATCGAATCAATGAGTTTACCAAAAAATACTTACGACTTTAATAGAAATGAAGTTTGTAAAAATAAAGTATTTGTTATTCTTGTAAAGTACTGTGTACTGTACTTTATTATTCTTATAAAGTATTTTTTTTTTTTTTTAAGGGGGGAAAATCATCGAATGACTGCTCCCGCCTGGGTGAGGCGGAAGGGAGTGTCAGACTCTTACTGACTAAAAACCACCCCGTTCCTTCTCCTGCACGTCGAGCCGGAGCCCCGGTTACCCGTTAGGTTCTCCGCGACATTCTTATAAAGTATAGAGTACAATTACCTTAAATAACGTACAATACTTTATTATAAAGTAGGTACGGGTGGCAACCTTATATAAGTCCGAAATTAAATCAATCAATCAACAAACTTGTTGATTGATGTCATTAGTTTTATTGAATTTCTACTGACATTCTATTTGATTTAGATATATATAACATCACGCCTATTATCCCCGAAGTGGTAGGCAGAGGTGCACACAGAAGTAACACCCACTTTCCACGAGTCCCACGTAATAGGGGGTGAGCCTATTGCCATATACCGGGCACAATTCCAGACTCCGTGCTACTACTGAGATTTTTTAAATCTTGATTTAGAGTTTTGGATAAAATTCAGTTATTTTCGGTCGTCAGATGAATCCAAAATATTAACCTTTATTTTAACATATTTATTGATTTGTTCGGAATATAGGTAAGTACTTAAGTATATAATATATTAGTGGGTCAGTGAACTGCCTCGCTGGCCGAGTGTTCGCACGTGCGACTGCCGGACAGGGGGTCTCGGGTTCGATTCCCGGGTCGGGCAAAGTATTACAGGGTTTTTAAAAAATTCTCAGTCAGTAGTAGCACGGAGTCTGGAATTGTGGCCGGTATATGTCAATAGGCTCATCCCCTATTACATGGGACTCATAACATACATAGTGAATAGTGGGTGTTACATTGTACAGTGGTATAATGTGCACCTCTGCCTACCCCTTCGGGGATAAAAGGCGTGATTTTATGTTATGTTATGGGTTAGTGTAAAATGTAAGATATAAATATGAGACACAGTGAAGTGAAGCAAAGTCTGGCCGCTGGTCAAAAGTGAAGCAGACGTAATTGTTTAGAGGTTTTTGTGAAGACCATGTAGATAAGAAGACAAAACAAACTGTAGTAAAACTATTATGAGATCGTTATGTGTTTACAAAAGGATAATATTATGGAGTCTTGACAGATTTTACATGTAATTAGTTTCGTACACTGACTGCACATAACACCTGATTTCTTGCTTAGGTTAATAAATATTATAATCTTTGTTTGTTTATTATAACATAACATAACATCACACCTCTTTACCCGAAGGGGTAGGCAGAGGTGCGCATTACAGCACTTAATGCTACTGTAGAATGTAACACCGGATTTATGTTTTTTTTTTTTTTTTTTTTTAATATTAAAGATTATTTCTCCACGGACTCTAGGTCCGTGCCCTTGTCATACAGTTTTTTAATTATAATACATCTAGTCAATTTTTATAAAGTAAAGAGGGAACCTAGTTACATACTACAATTAACTACATCTATAATTATTAGCAAAAGTATAGGTTACATAATAATTAGGCACTATTTATTTATTTCTATTTCAAAGGCTTTATGAAACCAGCCCACCAACAAGATGGGAGAGCCGACCTGACCCAGCAGAAGGCACCCGTTCACGAGTATGACGTGTGTGTCAGCAATTGGTCCGGTCAACCTTTTTATTGGGAACGGAACAACCCAACACACAGCGCCACCGACTGTAGGACATTTATGTGTGCATGACGCCTCAACCCTTGCCACATGGGCCGATTCCAATAAAGCGTACAATAGTCCAAAGTCAATTGCTCATATTCTATTTCTACATGTTTCTGCACACACATTTCCTCATGTTGCATTCGTTCCATCACAAGCAACACTCCCCGCCCAAGAGAGCACCCATGACTGCCGCGTCCCTGTGTTTGATGGCCATTTTCAGGTTGTAGTCCTTAATACCCTGCTCACCCTCATCAGCCGCCTTCCTGATTAGTTTGCTTATCGCGTCTTCACTGTTGTCTGTGTAATAGATGCAACCATGCGTGTGACGCGATATTGCTACTACCGCGTGTGGTACGCTGTCATGTATTTGATGTTTCTTTGTTGCTGTGTTGACAACAATCACATTCGCACACGAAAGTCCCTGTGCCTCGTGTATCGTGAGCACGCGTGATCCCACGGTCGACCCGTATCCCTGGTTCTTAAGGGATTCCTTCTCTGCCTGAGTGTGTACCAGGTATAAAGTGTCGGGGAGTGACTTTGGAATCATCGCCCCCGAGAACCTTTTTATCTCGAGGGATCTCACGAACGACCTGGACGAATATATGCCACTGTAAACTGTGCTGAGGGCATACGCCACATCCATTGGATTTCTGTGGGTACACATCAATTCCTGGCTTATGGGCGTGATATATGTAGGGCGGCTGTAGAGTAGAGGGAAGAGGTTATCACGATCTATAAACGGAAGCTGATTTATGTCACCAATTAGAAGGACTTCCTTGGCTCGAGTTATTCGGGCGGCCATCACAACGGCTCCAAAGTGGTTCATGAGAGCCTCATCTACCATTAGGCGATGGCAGCTCTCTCGCTCCCCCAAGCCGTTTACTAGGATGGACGCCATTGTTCGAACCCTAGATTTGACGAGTCCTCCGATTCGGCAGGATAGTTTGCCTCTGAGGTCATTTGCTGCTTCGGTTGTCGTGGTGACAATTAGATCTTTGCCCGCTTCAAATTGATCAACTATCCATGTCGTTTTTCCGCAACCAGGGACGCCATTTGTCCAGCGAAACGTCGGAGTATGCCAGTCTCCAAAAACTTCGCCGTCTGATCCAGAATCAGAAATGGATCTTGCCATCTCTAATATTCTATCGTCCAGCATAATTCTGGTGCATTTGGCAACCACTACTAGGGAATCCCCTGGAGGAGTTTTAAACTTTAATACTCCGCATCGATCGGATTCCCTCTCGTCCAGAGACACAAATCCGGCAGTTGCGTTATAAGCAGCCATACTTCGAGTTATAGAGGTTCCTCTCAGTACCCTCGAGGTGTTGTTGTCGTATATGACTGCTTCTGCTGCTTCGAGTCTATCGTTCAGTATTAGCTCGTTTCCTTGCAGGTAAGTCTGCAGAATGGATTCGCATTTCCGCATGTTGACTTGCCTGGTTGCCTCCACCACTGCGGAAAACTCGAGAAAAGCATTTACGACATGGTCTCTGGTAGTGGACGCTTGTCGAAGCCTCGGCGGACAAACGTGACCCATAGCTGCTCTTGTTGGTGATGACCTGGGGGGAGGAGACTGTATTTGTGCGCCTCCTGATCCTTGAGCAGATTTAACCACATTTTTTCTGAAGGGTGACGAAATCAGTCCGGTTACTGAGCATATGGCCGCTGTTATTGCCCACACTCTACCTCGTGATTCTAATTTTTTATTTTCCCTCTCGGTGTTTTGTTGGTGTTGTTGCAGAGCGCTTTGTTGCCTATATCTTTGTTGTAGACGCTCTGAGCCGCTTGGAGAATCTACCCTTAGCGCGTATCGAACTGGCTTTTTGAGGAAACTCAAGTCCTCACCCCTGTTCTCGTACACGATGACTTCATGATGTTCTGAAGCCCTGACGCATCCTATAAGGTCTGCCGTTCTCCCCTTCTCATAAGCTACCACGGCAGCGTCCACACTAATTATTCCCGATTTATGTTATAAGTCCCAAATAATAGAGGGCAAAATTCCATAATCCGTGCTAAACTACTGAGAATTTAAAAAAACCCTAATAACTTGCAACCACTCGGCCAACGAGACCGCCTGTTTATTATAATTTTACCTAAACAGTTGTTCGACACAGTATGACTACTGCTGAGTTATATGAGGTGGGTACGACTCCTGCACATCTACACAATTTCATTTTAACTGTTGTACCCAGTCTAGGTGTGTAAGTAAATGCACCCACGACACCGGAAAATCAAAGAAACATACACAGGAACAACGCCTTTAGCCAAACGCCACTTTAGGGCTTGTCTACACAGAGAGTAGAAATCAAAATGTATGGGGATGACACTGACAAATATCAAAATTTAGGTCAATTCCATATAATTTTGTTTTCTATTCTATATGTAGACAAGCGCTAAATGGCATTTGGCTACAGCTGCCTGATCGCTTAACTGCTCCACCAACCGTGCAATCATGACACCAAATATCGAACTTGTCCTAAAATCTTTGAATTTGACAATTCTCATGAGAATCGTGTCGTTACATGGGTAAGTAGAACACAGTGGTCACGGAGCTGAGTTCGTGATCTATCGTTATTCCAGTGCCGTTCGTGATCGCTGGAGTAATGCCAAGAAAGGATGGAAAAGTAGTAATCAGTCTCAATAACATAGCATCAGTGGATTTGGTACTGTAGAGTTTTTGGTACTTAAACATACTTAGAGTAGGGATTAGAGATTCTATACTATTTTTGATAGGTATGTCAAAAATGATAGCTTTCTGTGAATTTTGAACAGTCTGAACGATATCTGGGTCAGGGCCTGCCCTGAAAATCATTAAAATTCCTTGCCTGACAGTCAGGCAAGTGTACATGAAGTTAAACTAAGTATGAGTCTAGAATTGTGCCTAGTATAGTCTACAATAGGTTCTAATGCGATGTATATACAACACAACTGACAATAATTAGGTGGTGATGCTTCATATTATTTAAAATATGTCGACTATCCCTTCGGGAAAAATATGAAGGGTGCGATGCATATTACTTTATCTTACTTCCTACTAATATAATAAACTAGCTACTTCCGCGCGGTTTCACACGCTCTGCTCTGCTGCTATTGGTCGCAGCGTGATGTTTTATAGCCTATAGCCATCCTCGATAAATACGCTATCCAACACAAAAATAATTATTCAAATCAGACTTGTAGTTACGGAGATAAGTGCGTTCAAACAAACAAACAAAAAAACAAACTCTTCCGCTTTATATAATAGTATGAGATATGAGATATAAGATAAGATGAAAGTTTGTGAGGATGTGTGTATGTGTGTTACTCTTTCATGTCAAATCGGCTGAAGGGATCCGCATGAAATTTGGTGCAGGGGTAGACCGACTAACACATAGACTCCTTTTTATCGGACGGGATCGCGGGTGAAGCCGCTGGCAGAAGCTAAGTTAATTTCAATTATGTCTGTTTTCACTAAGCTCTTCTAAATTTTAAGGAACCCCTAAGCTGAGATAGGTGAGTTTTAACGTCATTTCGGTTTTGACTAACCTAACTATAAGTTATATCTAACACTATTGACTACAGGTAAAGGGTCAGTTTGCTTAAGAGATGATTGCTTAAGGGATGTTTGGTGAAAAAACCAATTAGACCTTCCCTAGGATCTAAAACTACGTAATATTATTACAGAATGCAAGTCATTAGGGTACTTAATAAATATAGGTAGGGAGTAACCACTTTACTTACATTTAGTACCTAGACACAGTAATAGATGAAGTGTCTATAGTGACTAGCAACTGGCCACAAATTGCATAGAAACATTAAATAGCACTTGAGTTAAAGTACAAGGAATTGTTTGTCATACAATTAACTTGAAGAAGATAGACATATAATAACTCAAGCAAATGATATATAAAGTCTTACAAATAAATTGCAAAGTCATTTGCATACATACTTAACCTAGGGCTTGTACAATAAAGTTAAAAATTCCACAATGAGTTTCGCCAATAAAGTGGTGATCGTTACGGGAGCAAGTTCTGGCATCGGTGCTGCAGTTGGCATCAAATTCGCTGAAGAAGCTGCTAACGTTGTACTAGTAGCACGCAATCAAGAAAAACTTAAAGAAGTCCTCAAGAAATGTGATAAACACCGTGGTAAAGCCATCATGGTGATCGCAGACGTCACCAAAAACGAAGACATAAAGAAAATAATAGCTCAAACCATTAATCAGTTTGGAAAAATTGATATTTTGATCAATAACGCAGGAGTAGGAGGCAAAGCTGCGGTCTGGGATACGAAAGCTATGGAAGTTTTTGACAAAGTGATAGCTACAAATCTTCGTTCCGTGGTCTACCTAACGAACCTAGCAGCTCCTCACTTGATCCAGACAAAGGGCAACATAGTCAACATCTCTAGTATCGCAGCCGTAAGTGTGATCACAGCTGAACATTTTGCTTATTGCACTTCAAAAGCTGGCTTGGACCATTTCATGAGATCAGCTGCTCTTGATTTTGCTCCGAAAGGTGTGAGGATCAACTCTGTAAACCCAGGGCCTGTGAGGACGGATTTTATTCAAAATCTTGGTGTGGGTAAGGATGAAGCTAACAGTTTTTGGGATAAGATGAAGGAGGCGACTGCTCTTGATAGAATCTCAGAGCCTGACGAAATAGCTGATGTAGTGTTGTTCTTAGCTAGCGACAAAGCGATAGCTATTACTGGTTCGTCCTATATAACTGATAATGGATGTTTGTTGAGGAGACCGTTTAAGGAGCTGTAACATTTTGACATTAAAAGAAGCTTCGTTACAATATTTTAATCATAGTATTTTAATTCATTACTGTCCTTTTTCAATTGTCAGCATATATCCTAAAGATTCCTATGATATTAATGGAAATCTAACATGCTTGTGTGTGTGTATATTGTTTTGTTTTTCTATTTAAATATTTTTAAATTGTGTACCTAATGATTTCTTGATTATAACTCTATTTTATTTAAAATATATAATTGTTTTATTTCATTTTCTACATTTCATTAAAAGTGTGCCCTACATTATTGAGTGATAATATTACTATCTAACCATCACTACCACGGCAACGACGAACCTAGTCCCTAATAAAAATTCCCACAAAATCGACAAAACAATATGAATAAAAGAAAGTGACCTCTACCAGTGACAGCACAATGATAGGACTGAAGTTCGCGCGTGTTCGACCTAGATACGTGCTCGCAATGAAAAGCGGGTAAGCAGACATTGTAGGTGAGGGGGCGTTGGTCTAGTGGTAGAAAGAAAGTAAAGTGTAATTGATAGGTTTGTGTTATGGTAAAAGGAAGTGCAGTTTATGTTCTAAGGCATACCAGGCGTCGCGTTCCGCGCGCGCCATGAAAGAGCCATCAGACAACCACAGATGGTGGTCTGATGGCTTTTGGAACAGTTGGTCTATGTGAAGGAGGCCTGAAGTTCACAGTGGACTATTTGAAGTTTAAGTTTTGTTAGAGAGCATAATTATGTCAAACGTTTAGTCCCTTGAGTCTATTCTCTTTTTAGCATCGGCACCTTTTTTGATGGAAGAAAATCATCAATCAACCCGCCTGGGTGAGGTGAGAGGGAGTGTTAGACTCTTACTGACTACAAACCACCCCGTTCCTACTCCTACACTTCGAGCCGGAGCTCCAGCAACCCATTACGTCTTCCGCGGCTCCGTATCGACATCAGCCCTATTGTGCCCCATCCGCGGTGAGATTGTACCATCTGGCATGCAAACATTTTTAAATCTTTAAAGCTGCGAACAAAATTGACTATAATAATTTGTAACTTATCTACAAAAGTATTAAAATTACTAATGGATAATATAAATCTAATAAAATCTGAAAATTGATAACACAATTAAGTGTGGGAGAGCCATGCTTCGGCACGAATGGGCCGGCTCGACCGGAGTGATAACACGGCCTTACAGAAAACCGACGTGAAGCAACGCTTGCGTTGTGTTTCGTCGTGTGAGTGAGGTTACCCGAGACTCAATTACCCTCCCCTTCCCCAATCTCCTCAATCCCTGAATCCCCAACGATCCTCAAACTCTTAATCCTCAAAAAGCCGGTAACGCACTTGTAACGCCTCTGGTGTTCCAGGTGTCCATAGACGGAGCCGATTGCTTACCATCAGGTGATCCGTCAGCTCGTTTACAGGCTTATGCCATAAAAAAAACATAATAAATAACTAAAAAACAAAAGCCTTACTTACTAACTTCTGCTTACATCTTCAGAGACAAAAAGTGCGACGATATGTTTTGTTTACGAACTATTTACTAACATCTCAAGATGTTAAAGTGTATTTGAAGTGCACTTCAACCTGGCAGTATCAATGTTACAAGTGCAAACATCCATGGCATACTTTACAAGTAGATAGATAGTACTTTATAACTAAACTAGCGGCCCGTCCCGGCTTCGCACGGGGGGACTTAAGATTTTTTACATAGTTTTACGTTTTATTTATATTTATTCTCAGTTTTTTTTTAGCGACCTGCCCTCCGTTGTCGATGTCGCGTCTTAAGGTAACCGATTGAACAATTCAAAAGTTATCTAGAGCAAACTTTTATAAGGATTGAACCATTCATTAAAACGATTGTTATGGGTAAACTATAAAAGGTAGACATATGCTCTCGCGGACTTTTTTAAAATAATGTTTAAACAATAAACAATTCATCTATAGAACATTTTTGTATAACTTTAACTATATGCTCAGCGCACGCCACGGAAGGCCTCAGAAACGATACTTTTCCCCCGTTTTTAAAACATTTTTGGTTACTGCTCCACAACTATAGGACCTAGCGTGATATTATATAGCCTATGTTACTTCTGAATAATGCAGCTTTCGAATGGTGAAAAAATTATTGCAATCGGTTCAGTAGTTTTTGAGTTTATTCTTTACAAACATACAAAAATACAAATCTTTCCTCTTTATAATATTAGTATAGACTAGCTGACCCGGCAAACGTTGTTTTGCCAAATAAATAATTTTGTAGAAGGGTGAAAATTGAGGATTGTAGTCAAAGTCAAAGTCAAAGTAAAAATCATTTATTTCAATTAGGCCAGAATGGCACTTTTGAACGTCAACAAAAAGATGTATGTATTTTTGTATAAAAAAATATAAGTACTTAAATAAAAAATTTAGTATAAAAAATAAAAAAAATGTAGGGTTGAACTACCCCTAACATTTAGGAGGATGAAAAATAGATGTTGGCCGATTCTCATAGATACCGGATAAGCACAAAAATTTTCATCAAAATGGGTCGAGCCGTTTCGGAGGAGTATGGCAAATTGGCAACGAAAACTGTGACACGAGAATTTTATATATTAGATGCATTTGAGCGATGACAATAACAAACAACCCTTGTAATTAAGTAATTAATTATCATGACTTTGAAGAAACTCTATCTATCTTTATCTTTAAAGTTTAATTTTATTTGGTTACATAACATAATATCACGCCTTTTATCCTCGAAGGGGTAGGCAGAAGTGCATATTATTCCAACACTCACTTTTCACTATTTATGTTATGAGTCACATGTAATAGGGGGTGAGCCTGGATCACACAAAGTGTTGTTCCGTGCGGGAATCGAACCCGCGACACGTTGCACGGCAGCCGGTAGCCCTGCCACCGCACCAACCGTGCAGTTGATTAAGCAAGGAAGAGTTAATACTCTTCCTTGCTCAATCGAACCTGCCCCCCTAGGTTTGATGTTAAAATAAGTACATATATACAGTAATAATAATATACAGGGTGACTAGTCTCGACGTATGCCTCTCGGGATGTCAAAATAGAACTAATTTCCTACAAAATTAGCCCTGAGGACTAATGGTCCGAATGTGGCTAGCTTTTGAGATATTCAACATTTTTGGTTTCAGTCAAAAAATCCCGAACTTAATACAAAATGGTATTCATCATCAATCATCAACAGCCTATAAATGCCCACTGCTGAGCAAAGCCTCTTCTCACACGGAGAAGGTTAGAGCATTAATCACCACGCTTGCTCAATGCGGGTTGGCGATTTCAAACTTATAATTAGAAATTATAAGTCCAGGTTTCCTCGCGATGTTTTTCCTTCACCGTTTGTCAGTGGTGTCTAAAAATAATCTCAGAAAGTACATATAACTCGGAAAAAGTCACATTGGTACTTGCCGTTGGTAGGTTTCGAACCCGCACCCTCATGCATGAGAAGTGGGCGTCTTAAACCTCCGGGCCACCACGACAAAATGGTATTAGCATTATTAAATGTTTATTGACGACTGCCTCATTGGACGAGTGGTCGCAAGTGCGACTGCCAGGCAAGGGGCCTCGGGTTCGATTCCCGGGTCGGGCAAAGTATAACTTTAAAAAAACATCACAGTAGTAGCACGGAGTCTGGAACCGTGCCCGGTATATGGCAATAGGCTCACCCCCTATTGCATGGGACTTATAATATAAATAGTGAAAACTGAGTGTTACATTGTACAGTGGCTTAATGTACACCTCTGCCTACCCCTTCGGGGATAAAAGGCGTGATGTTATGTTAAATGTTGATTGGTGTATTGACAACAAATTAAAACTGAAATCATTTAAATCAAACCAGTTAATTTTATTTATTGACGTTTTTGACCAAAACCAAATATGTCGAATATTAGTATTTGTATAGTAGAAACAGAAAATAATAGATGATGATGCAATGGTTAAATAAATAACTTTTCTATATCAATATTCTATTAGTCGTTGACCACCTCGCCGGACCAGTAATTAAGGTGACAAAATACTAATAGATAAACTAAAAACTAAAGAGCTAAAATATGCAAATTAAATTATTATGCTAACTAACGGTATTTAGTATTAAATTGTACGGTATAAAGCGCATACATAATTACTGGCTACCAGGATATGATCTTTATGTCTGCGTATACTGAGGAAGTTCTTATTTTCTGAGGGGTCAGAATCGAATATCTCCTCCTGCCTTCGGTCAGGTCAGACTCTTACTGACTAAAAGCCACCCCGTTCCTACTCCTGTTACGACTGCGATAGATACAGACTACATTTTTCCTTAAACTTAGGGGACGTAGTAAACTTTTTAACCTCTTTTAATGATAATGTACGCTGAGGAATAATTTTTATTCTTGCGTTACAATAAAATTAAAAGGCACATACAATAGAGGAGAGGATAAAAACGCTGTGAATTTTAACAAATAGCTTTAGAAAGATAATTTTACCGTATTATAGCAAATAAACATTTTTGATTTGATTTTATTTTATTTGAATTTTTTAAACGGAATTACAATAATGCATTTCACATACATAACATCACGCCTTTTATCCTCGAAAGGGTAGGCATAGAGGTCCACATTATACCACTGTACAATGTAACACCCACTTTTCACTATTTATGTTATGAGTCCCATGTAATAGGGGGTGAGCCTATTGCCATATACCGGGCACAGTTACAGACTCTGTACTACTACTGGGAATTTTTTTAAAAACCCAGTAGTACTTTGCCCGACCTGGGAATCGAACCCGAGACCCCTTACCCGCAATTGCGACAACTCGGCCAACGAGGCAGTCAATAATGCATTTCCTAACTCGAAAATCGATTAAAATCAAAACGATGATTGGTTTCCACACTCGACACGACTTAGCAATCTTCAAACCGCAAGAAGAATTGATTCCAAACGAATAAAAAAACCATCGATCAAATCGGACTCACTGCCTATCGAGAATGTCAACAAACATATCTACATACATACACTAACCATTAGTAAGTGTAATGTCCTAAGTCAATGAACTTCAACTTAACCTGCGTAGGTGACAAACGGACAAAAACAATATGGCGGACTATATTTATATGACGTCACAAATCATGATCTTATGACCAATGAGTAATGATGATTCTGAATTCTTTAATAGTGTGTTTAAGTGGTTGCAAGAACGACTGTTAAACAAGTAGAATGTCGTGGAGAACCTAACGGGTAACCGGGGCTCCGGCTCGACGTGCAGGAGAAGGAACGGGGTGGTTTTTTGTTCATCAAGAGTCTGACACTCCCTCCCGCCTCACCCAGGCGGGAGAAGTAATTCGATGTCTTTCCCGCCTTAAAAAAAAACAAGTAGTATCGATTTCTTCAATTCGCAAGTTTGTCAAACTCCGGTTACCGGTGCTCCATCTCGAAGGAGGAGTAGAAACATGGTGGATTTAAGTCAGATAATTGTACCAAAAAAGTGAAAACGAGTAGGTAACCTATGGAGTTTCTTGCTCGTTCATCTCCATAGGAATCTACACTTTGAGACGAGCATAGCTTTACTAGAGGACTTACTGACAGCCTGACAATTTGTATCTTGGCGTTCAAAAGTAATTAATTGGGCGTTAGAATGAATGATTTTGTCTCCGGTAAGTGTCTGACACTCCCTCTCGCCTCACACAAGGCGGGAAGCCTTTACCTAAAGGTTAATCAGACTTGATTTTTTTTATGGCATAAGCTTGTAAACGAGCAGACGGATCACCTGATAGTAAGCAATCGGCGTCGCCCATGGACACCTTGAACACCAGAGGCGTTACAAGTGCGTTACCGGCTTTTTGGGGATTAGCAGTTTGAGGATCGTTGGGGATTCAGGGATTGGGGAGATTGGGGAAGGGGAGGGTAATTGGGCCTCCGGTAACCTCACTCACACGACGAAACACAACGCAAGCGTTGCTTCACGTCGGTTTTCTGTGAGGCCGTGGTATCACTCCGGTCGAGCCGGCTCATTCGTGCTGAAGCATGGCATTCTCAATAACAAGCCCGAAGATTGCAACTGTATCTAATGTATGGTAATGAGTTTACCAGTTAAAATCCGGACCCATACACTATCATCACTATGAGTATATCAGTTTATGATAGCAAAAAAAGCAAAAAAGTAGACTTGTGAAAGAACGCTTGTCAAGAAACGTGTTTGTCATACTTAATTCAATGATCGATATAATCTTTTTTATCAATTTAAATTGTAACGTAACATCAAGCCTGTTGATACAAAAAAGGATAGGTAGGATACCTACTACGTGTAATAAACCCATCATCATTTAATTAAATACTACATTACTTAGCACGTATTGTATTTAGCCTAGGAATCGACGCTAAGACCCCACCAATGAGGTAGTAAAAATAACTAGTTCCTATACATATTAAAAATTCTACTAATATCGACTGTCCCAGGTGGCATAACAAAAATTGACGAAACCAACAATGGGGATGACGACAGGGTATGAAAATTAAAAATATAATTACTCCGTAAGTTAGGTAATAAAAAAATATTAGACACGTATTTTTTTTATTTTGTCGTATAGTAAAACAATACTTGGATAAAACGAATCAAAGTCTAGGAGTGGGGGCTAAAACGTCATTTCTTAGCATAAAATGTACTGAGAAGTGACGTCACGCGACATTTCAAATCAATATATCTTCGAAACTATTCGTTTCCGTAAGAAAATAAAAATACGTGTCTAATGTTTTTAAATAATCTACCAGACGGACATTAAAATAAAAATTGGTCTACCCTACTAAAAATCATCCCTCCAAAATTCTTAATTAAAAAAAATGTTAGTAAAAGAAACTCACCATCAGATTCAGTGACTTTCTCAGGCGCTTTAGTAGATACTTCCAACGTGGTCAAGGTTTCAACCTTAGCTGGTTCAGTAGAAGCAGAAGGTGACGTAGCTTCTACTTCAGTAACCAATTGCCCTGCTTCTGTAACCACCTGCACTGCTTCGGTAGTCGAAACCACCTCAGTTGCTTCGGATACTTGCACAGTTGTCTCCTTAACAGCTTCGGTTATTGTAGTTTCAATGGTTCCTTCTGAAATAGTTGTTTTATCAACTGGTTTCTCTGTCTCAGTGATAGATGAAAGAGTCGTTTTCTCAGCTTCTGTTGTTGGTTGATTTACTTCAACAACTTTCTCTGTTACTAAAGTTGTTAGAACAGTTGTTGGAGGTGCTTCTGTGGTTGTCGTTGTCGTTGTAGTTGTTGTTGTAGTGGTTGGTTCAGAAGTTGTTGAAGTAGCAACTGTGGTGTTGATGTAAGTGATAGATACTGATGAGGGTCGCGTGAATATTGGTTTTGAGCTAGTCGACTGAGGTAGTATTGTTATGTTCAATCTGGGAGGGATTGGCAAAGGTTTCTTTGTAGCAGGTCGTTTGCTAGGAGGCCTGTAAGGAGGTTTCCTTGTAGTATTGTACACAGGCTTCACAGGCCTTGGTTTGTACGTAGATAAGGTGTATTGAGGTCTTGTGTGGTTATATGGCTTTTGCGACGAAGGCCTGAAGGTCGGCCTCGAAGGTTTCCGAGTAGGCTTCGGCTTTGCAGTCGTAACTTTAGTAACCTCTTCTTCATGAGGCTTCTCAGTTACTACGTTATTTTCGCTAGAAACTGTTTGGAACGTTGATAGCTTCATAGGTAGCTCAGTGACTGGTGCCTCGGTGATTCTATTCTCAGTTCTCACAGTAGTTTCTACGATGGCTGATGTAGTGAACTTGATATCGTCATTCGATATTTTGTTATCGATAGTCGATTGTTCATCAGATTTCGTTTCTAAATCAATCGCTTCTGTTCTATCGAGTACGGTTTCAGATTTTTCAGTTACTGTATTATCGATTTTTTCTGTTGTTGTCGTAGTAGTTTTTTTGGAAGCGAATATATCTGGAATCTTGCTTGTTGCTGCATGTACTTTGTCTTCAATTTGTGGATGAACAAAATTAGCACTGTCTATCGAATTATCTTCAATGTTATTGCCTATAATTTGTGGTAGTATGGTTTTGTCTGGGATTTGGCAGCAGGATCCGAAGTAGAACCTGTCTATACAGGTCCCTAAGTGAGACCCATTGGCTTTGAGGCAATCTATGGCGAACATACAAAGACCTTCCTGTCCTGTTCTTCTTGATATACAGGGCAAGTGTCTTATATTTCTAGCTAGTGGCACAGGACCTGGAAAGAGAGAAAGAAATAGATTAATATTTTGTTTCAATTGTAACATAATAAAAGGAATTATATCATAAGACTAGCTGTTGCCCGCGACTTCGTCCGCGTAGATTAATGACTTCTGACAGAATTAACCAGAATCAATTCAGTGCCCAAGTAAGATTTACCTATTTTGAAATGATTTATCGTAATTTCAATAAATAAATAATCCCGCAGGGATCTTACCAGTACAGTGCCCGATCACGTAAGGTTTGAGTAATAAAAACTCTATCGACTATTGTTGTACCGAATCTCTCTAGAATAAGTTCAGTGGTTAAGGGTTAGAGAGACCTGGGGCATTGACGCATAGTTCCCGTTCTCGTGAGACATCTGTGAAAAAACTATCATACGTTACCCAGGTCCTAAATCATCGTTTTACCGAATGTAATTCAAAAAGATTCAATGATTCTAAATTCAACGGCTAATAAGATTTATACAAACTCTCATTCCCTATTTATTCCCCTTAGGGGTGGAATTTATCAAAATCCTTTCTAAAGAGATACCTATGTCATAGTAACTTTATGCATGCAAAGTCTCAGCCCGATCAATTTAAAACTGGCAAAGTATCATACAAACTTTCACCCCCTATTTTACCCACTTTGGGGTGAGAATATTCAAAAACCTTTCTAAAGGGACGTTTACGTCATAATATCCATCTGCACGCCGAATTTCAACCCGATCGGTGTAAAACTGACAAAGCTTCATACAAACGTTCATCCCCTATTTTACCCCCTTAGGGGTGGAAATTATCAAAACCCTTTCTTAGCGTATGCCTATGTGATAACATCTATCTGCATGCCAAATTTCAACCCGATCGATTTAAAACTGACAATGTCTCATCCAAACTTTCATCCCCTATTTTACCCCCTTGGGGGTGGAAATTATCAAAATCTTTTCAAAGCGGATGCTTACGTCATAACATCTATCTGCATGCCAAATTTCAACCCGATCGGTTTAAAACTGACAAAGTCTTATACAAACTTTCATCTCCTATTTTACCCCTATTGGGGGTGGAAATTATCAAAATCCTTTCACATCGGATGCTTACGTCATAACATCTATCTGCATGCCAAATTACAACCCGATCGATTTAAAACTGACAAAGTCTCATACAAACTTTCATCCCCTATTTTACCCCCTTGGGGGTGGAAATTATCAAAATCCTTTCACAGCGGATGCCTACGTTGTAACATCTATCTGCATGCCAAATTTCAACCCGATCAGTTAAAAACTGACAAAGTTTCATACAAACTTTCATCCCCTTTTTTACCCCCTTGGGGGTGGAAATTATCAAAATCCTTTCTTAGCGGATGCCTACGTCGTAACATCTATCTGTATGCCAAATTTTAGCCCAATCTGTCCAGCGGTTTGGGGTGTGCGTTGATAGATCACTATGTCAGTCAGTCAGTCAGTCAATCACCTTTGAATTTTATATATATAGATAATGTATAAGTCATGTGATTATTATAATTTGTTTCGATGATTTGAGATAGAAATCACAGAATTATTAAAAGACATGTACTAATACCTACTTATATTTACTTTACTTTAGTCATTCCAATATAATTTATAAATATAATGTAATACAAAAAAATACAAAAAATTTTTATTTCTGAACCAAATATTTTTTTAACAATAGATTGTGATTGGAGCCTCCTTTTAGGTAAATAATGCCTGTATTAGGAGACTCCGCTCTTCCATAACATAACAATATTTCAAAAGTTTTTGGTTTTTACAATTACCAGTTTATTGACTTATATAAATAGATTTATGTGTAAGGGGTGTATGTGAGTGTGGGGTGTATGTGTGTGTGAGGTGCGCGTATCTGTGTGTGTGGCGTGTGTGTCGTGGTGTATCTGCGAGGGTGTGTGAGGGATGGTTATTTTACGTGTTGCAGCAGGGCTTCCGTACTTTCGTATGTTAAATTTTTTATCCATTCGATTAGCAATTTCTTACATTCGTGTAGTTGTTTAGTGTATATGTATATTTCTTTGTTTACCTTATTATATATTTGTGCAGAGCGTTTATTGTATTGTATAGCAGCAAGTTTAGTTTTAGTTTGTGGAACTTGTGCAATCATATCTTTACGTCTCTTTGATAATATTTTACTGTCATAAAAAACAGTTTTGTGTTTTTTTAAAATCAGTTGTGTGATGTACAATTTCCTAACAGAGAGTAAACCACTTATCTGATAAATACTTTCAGTAGGGTGCCTCCTACTTTTAAAATACATAATTTTAATGAGTGCTCGTTGTCCTCGTTCCACCTCTATAAATTTGGTTTTTGCTGCACCGCCCCATATCGGTATACAGTATGTTATGATGGATTGTGCAAGGGCGATGTAAATTTCGTTTAAGAGATTTCTGTATTGGCCGGTTTTTTTATTTGTAATGGTTGGAACGACGTGTCTCAATGTTTTGAATATCCAACATAATTTCCTTATTCTATGAGTTACGTGTTCGATATGGAAATACCAAGACAACTGTTGATCAATTATGACACCTAAATATTTTGTCTGAGATACTTTACCAATTAGAGGACATGTACAATCATTATTAGCGGTTTTCTGCTTACATGAATGCACTTTAATACTGAAGTCTTCATTTGGTTGTGAACGCTTTGAAGCAGAGAAACAGATATAGTTAGTTTTAGTTGCGTTCAAAGTTAATAAATTATTATTTAGCCAGTTAGCGATCTTAGTCATACCCTTCTCAGCTTTAAGCTGAACTTCAGGCCAGTTATCTCCAGAAAATACAACAGCGGTATCATCAGCGTACGAAAAAATGCTAGCGTTATCGACTTTTAAGGTACAGAGGTCGTTAATATACATTAAAAAGAGTGTAGGGCCCAAAACGCTACCCTGAGGCACGCCGAATGAGAGAATGTATATGATTTATACGTAGTGTAAATATTCTCATATTTAAAATAGTAGATAAACAACTATAAGTACAAATGTGCAGAGGTATCCAATGTAAGTACAATGCTCTCTTGTCTCATGAAGTTCACATGTTTTTTATTCAAATAAAACAAATGAATCATGGTCTGTTTGATTGTTTGTTTATAAGTAGGTATTTAGGTAATTTAAATTTATGCGCTTAGCGAGTTTTATTCGCTCAAAATTGATTGCTTTTAATCCAATAATACCTTATTTAGAATTTAAATATGGCTTAAAATACGTTTAGCGTCACTCCTAATCTTCCCGAGTGAATCGTAAGAATTTTCAAAAAATATTTTTAATTAAAACCCTTTTCTAATCCAAATTCAATAAAATGGAATTATCTCAGTATGTACTTGGTTTTACGAGAATCCCAAAAACTCTGGTAATCTAGCTTTAAACCAAATCTAGCGACATCTATGTTCATACTACTGAAACATTAGTTCAACCTAGTACTGATGATCGTACAAACAATTATACGGGCGTCCGCTAGATGGCATTGTTTTCTATATTATAAAAAATCTATGCACAACAGCCCGTAACAGTCCACTGCTAGGCCATGAGCCTCTTCAAATTAGAGAGGTTTATTATAGTCTACGCGATCGGCATGCGGTATGAAGATAGCAATTTAAAAGATTTACGTTTGTCAGAAGGCAGTTGTCTGTTGTCAATGAAATCTGTAATCCCGACTCCCTCCGAAAGTCTAAGAAACACTGTTCATATAGCGTTATTTGACGAATGCATGCATCCTTCACAATCAATAGGCAGCCTACAAATGACAAATCCTTGCATATTGCTTAGAAACAATGAAAACTGTCAACGAAGCAGCAATGTTAAACTCGACTATTAATTTGTAAAGAATGCGTGCATTCGTCAAATGACGAAACGTAAAAAGTTACAGTAATGGTGGTGTAAAACGTATTTAATTCACCGTCGCCTATAGACTAGACAAACACAAACATGGTCTACAATAAAAACTACAGTTAAAACTTAAAAATCTATTCCTAAAATCCAGTACTCCTATTTAACTAACGAGTTAGAACGTGGTCATAAATGTCAGCCAGTTAACAGCAGCTGTCAGCACTGACCACTGACATTTATAACGGGGAACGGGTTAACCACCGACTTTGAACCGCGGACGAGTTAATTCTTAAAACAAGTTTATTGATATTGTTACTAGGCATGCTATGGACAGAAGTTCAAGTTTGTTTGGTCATTGAAATATTGTTGCTTTAGTTTAAGATTTTATATTATCAGCTGCGCGACGTTCTTTGCGCATGTTGATTTTAATCATTTATGCTGCTAATAAATATGAGCCTCTAGCATGGCTTGAAATTAGTCGAGGTCCTCGTCAAACATTTACGTGAGTACGCCGTTAAACACAAAAAGTAATCTTTTTATAATAACTATAGTGAGACATACTAAATTAACTAAAAATCGGTTACTAGTAGAACTTTACCCAGTATTTTCACGTAAGTAACCCGTGATTTTTAGTTAATGCAATAATATTAACCATAACTATAGGTTACACGCGTATTTATTCGCGTGTCCTAAGTAATAAACATTGCTTATATCACTTTCGATCCTCGTAACTTTCTCCAGACACAAACATCATGCTGCACAATCGTTCCACTACCACTTTAATGTTAAACAAAGACAAACAAACATACTTCAGCATTTATAAATACTAGTAAAGTTATCTATTTGTCGTAAAATTCCTACAATACAAACTGTTGACTTGTTCACACGCCTACACATCGAGCTTTACATAACCAGTATAAACTGAACGTTAAATGTGCGGAAAGATGATGCGACGCGACACCAGGCTAAAATGGATTTGTATAGATTGATGTGTGGCCGTGTGTACGTTCATTCATTATTACCAAGAAGTTATACAAATACAAGAATGAAATATGTATCAGAAACATTGTAGAACATACTTTTTTAAAAAGAGTAAATAATGGAGTTTCTTGCTCGTTCTTCTCCATTCGAATCTACTTTTTGGAATGAGCACCTAGCTTCACCTAGTTTC